TATCTCAGTTATGCATGGATGGATTTTGTTCAAATTTGGTACATACATTAAACATAATAGGACCTTGATGCACGTCTTTTTTTTTTTCGGATCAAGTTCGAAATGGCCGACTGGCGGCCATTTTGTTAAAGAATTCAGTTCTGGATCCGTATCCAAGACATGTCTGGATTGATCAAGTTCAAACTTCACACACACATGGTACATCATGTCACAAATAGATATGTGCCTTTGTTTCATGATCTGCTTAACAATAGCGAAATGATGGCCATTTTAAGGCCGAAAATGCATCAAAATCACGTATTTTCACAATTCCAGAACCGGATCTCAGTCATGCATGGATGGATTTTGTTCAGATTTAGCACAATGTGTTGTACATATGCAGGTGCATTTCGGTCATGATCTGCTTTGAATGTATATGTCACTCAAATATGAACGGAACGGGGACGTGTCATTGACAATGACTTGTTATCCATATAATGAAAATTTGGGCTTTCTATATTCAAAGCAGAAATCACATGACTGATTAAATACACGAATTAGAATTGCGAAATCAAATCACTCCCAGTTCGGCCAAATTGATTCAAACTGCAGGTGTCAATTATATTATTGATGGGATTTCTCATGCTCATCGTTTGTAGACTATATATAATATATAATATCCATATGATGCAAGTTTATTTTGAAAGACCTTCTAAAAAGCATACATTATTTGATTGGCGCGATTGATAACCAATGTGATATAATATTATCTTATTTCGTTTTATCAAGCGGGATTCCGATTTTTAACTTTTATGTAACTTTTTCCGTTACCCAGGTTTGGAAAATACGCACACGATGAATTATCTATATTGGTGCCTATAGTCCACTGTTGTGTGTAAGTATAGTTGGGTCGTAACAAATAAATATGACCACTGTGTTAACTTAACAAACAATATTAATTCATATCGGGAATATTTGCTCTCGTTTTCTCTACTGCCACCTTTCTCTAAAACACAGTAATATGTTACATAACCTACGCCAATCTTTGGTAGATTACGTTATTTCAATTAATCAACTTTCTCAATATCTTTCTTTTTGTAGAATTCGCAAATCGACACATACACGATTGCAGCTTTTGGCGACATCCAACTTTCAGCTCAGCGATGTCATGAGAGATTCAATGTCCACTGACAAGATAGCTCCTGTTGTATTTGAACCTCATTTAGAAGCATTAGACCGACGCCTTGGAATCATCTTGAAGACAGTAGACAATTGTATAAAAACTAACGGAGCGGTAAATGTTTTAAAACCAGAGCCATCATTTGCGGCATATCATGAGCCAACACGAAGCAACGAAGATTGGTTCTGGTGAAATAAATATATTTGCACCAGCATTTTCTTCACATTTTTTCAATGATATTGTTTTACTTTGTAATCATTGTGCAATTTTAGATTGAATGCGTTTCAAATGCATTTGATATAATTTTAAAATTTAAATTACTTGTTTTGTTAAAATGAAATAAAATTTAAATGTTGAATTGCTGGTTGCACTCATCTGAATTGCAAACTAAAATCAATGTTATTTACATTTGAGGAATGTCACACAGAAAAGAATAACAAATATATTCATATATAGAATATTAAATACAATATAATTTCATATTTTGTACATTTCACATGAAATTAATATGTGAATATCTTGAATACTTGAATACTTGGTTGTGGCAAGCTTTACTGACTAATCCCACTGCAAACTGTTTATGAACAATTCGTAAACAAAAATATAATATGTCACATTGATTCATTTAAATGTTGAGTTCATTAGTTTATTTCTCTCAGTTGATGGTAAAACAATCTAAAGGTTGAATTTTACCCCTCATCACCGAACGCTATGAGGTTATCAAAATAAGGTTATTTTAGCTCAATTTACATTAGAATATTTTATTTAGTTTGGGTTTGTTTTATTTTAAATTTACCATAGAACGCGTTCTACATGTGACAGTAATGCAGTACTTAAATGGTGGAAAGTTAAATTGTGTCTTCTTTGTCTTATGCTTTCCATTTACATTTATTTCACGGCGATATAGAAAAGTCTACGCCATGAAATTTATTTTATTTTCTCGTGTTTATTGTGAACATAACTCCAATCAGTTATCATTAACACTTATTTGATCTTCCATCACAACATGCTCTGTGCGTGATTAAATACAGATATTGTTTTTTCAGTGTAAATTGATACTTTTTTGTCAAGAGATCAATAAATATCTTCAAATTATTTTCAAATTAAAGCTAGGAGTTGATTATTCTTCATCGGTACCTGGATGGTACTTGCCCGGATAATCTATGAACTTTTATTGAGTATTTTTCCCTAAGAATCTGGCTGTATAATTGTGCACCCGATATCAGACCTCGATATCCATTGCTGTTGTTTTCACTTACCTGTCTTCTGGTACATCTGAATTATTCTTAATGGAATAGCATTGGGTAGATGCCATCGTGATTGTCAATTACAAGATATGGGGTCTATAATTGTCAGCGTAGGTGGCGGTATTAGTATTGATGCATATCCCAGCCCATCCATGAACGCGTTTGAATTCAACAGATTTCTCTCGACCAATGAATCCAGTTAATAACATGCAACTGAAAGTTATTTTAGTTTATATACCCCGAAAGTAAAATGAATTACGCAAAAATTGTACTGTTTTTCTTGCATACATATTTTATAATTCGACTGAATTTCCCGTGCTTTTCCAAAGGCGATACTGACGAAACTTCCGCTTTTATTGATTGTATATTAGCAATTATGCACAATATGTTGCAATATCCCGTGCATGGGGGCGCTGTATACATTGTTACTTGTCCTAAGTCACAATAAAGCTGGCGAAAATAGTGCCAAATAAGTGTCCATGAAAGTTTTCCATTGCAGGATTTGATGTGGAGCTTTCAACGTGTCTCTAAATAATTTTGATTGATAGATATCATTATCAATCACAGACACGTTTTATTACGTGATATACACGAGTTTATAAAAGATCTTTCACATTTGCATCATTACAATGGAGTAAACAGCATGGTGAACAACATTTTTATGAAAGTTAGGGATTGTCAAACAGAAAACATATCTCTATTTTGACATGGTAACATTCAAAACAAGTTCATTGAACGCTATCAGTATGGAAAGGTTACGCAATATTCTGATATCGAATATGATAATTAGATAATGCGCTAGCTTTGTTGCATAGCAACTAAAACAAACATTTAAAAATTATAATTATCTACTTATATGCTTAAACAATCATCTCTATGGTAACACTAAATGAGACTGAGAAAGATTGTTATCTACTCCAGAAAACAATGAAACATTTCCGATTTATTTCATTTCCGATTAATACCAACCAGTTAAACTGCACATTGTTCCAATGAAAATGTGCGTATAGGTTGTAGCACTGTGGCGTCCCATCCCAACAGCAAAATGTTATGTGGTGGTCCACTGCCTAGTATGGCATACAAACAGTCATAGTTGATTGTCAAAATTTATGCCTGTAACGCCCATATCAATGAACTGACATTGTATTATTGCCTTTTACCTGTCACTAGCACAGACCAGAAATAATTTGGCAATCTTTGGCCTAGCTATCATTCCCACATATACAGTACATGTATGAGACGTATATTATTATATTTTTTTTAATAACCTCGTCACAATCAGAACTATGATATATTAATATATCCTACATTAATCTGGCCAAAGCTTTACCTCGACTTGTGTTTCAGGGCGCCCCGTGATAGACGTGCTGCCTCGTCTTCACTCAGTTTTCACACGTGCTGCCTCGTCTTCACTCAGTTTTCACACGTGCTGCCTCGTCTTCACTCAGTTTTCACACGTGCTGCCTCGTCTTCACTCAGTTTTCACACGTGCTGCCTCGTCTTCACTCAGTTTTCACACGTGCTGCCTCGTCTTCACTCAGTTTTCACACGTGCTGCCTCGTCTTCACTCAGTTTTCACACGTGCTGCCTCGTCTTCACTCAGTTTTCACACGTGCTGCCTCGTCTTCACTCAGTTTTCACACGGACGACATACACCTGCTAATGCGTATGCTACATGCAACTGTACACAAATTTGCAAGTCTATTTGAAAGAAGGATTCTCGCCGGACAGTAACAACAGCAATGTTTTTGTGGCTGTCCACGGTCTACTGTGGCATACAAACAGTAATAGTTGATTGTCAATATTCATGCCTGTAATGTCCAACTCCATCAATGAACTGCCATGTTAACCATGCATTGTACCAACAGAAAACAATATTTTATGGTTGCCCACTGTCTAAAAACAGTGATAGTAAGCTTTGTTGTAATGAGCTCCGAGCCCATCCTTGGTAGTTTCCTGGTTTCATATCTTTCAACAACCTTAATTTGTAACGGCTTTGTCAAATGAGTATAGACATCATTTTATGTTGTCTTCCTTTGGATAAAACATTGTCACAAACGCAGAGCCACCAGGGAAATTATTAAACATTAACGTAATCTGAAAGCCTATATAATCTGGTAGCATGTTGTGTGTTCAAGGCCAGAACAGTATACATTTTGAGTGTAAAATAAACTGCGCCATTCAATGTTCAAGCTGTGATGAACACCAGGTTAAGCAGTACAACTTTGATAGGTTTGTAGCAATATCAATACTTATTTGTAGTGCAATTTTACAAAATAAAATGTTTATGCGGTTTTATTCGAATACCTTACTTTTATTTTCTTATCATTGCTATGTAATTGACTATTTTTCATGATTTTTTCGATTGATAATTCCAATCAATGTAAGAGTTGTGTCGACCAGTGGTTGCGTGCTTTGGAAGCCAATGCGAAGGATAAAATATTTGTTTGTTGATTGTTGAAAGTCGCTACATTATATTTGGAATTAATTAAGGAGATTGAAACCCAGTGTTGTATAAGGAACACAAACTATGTCATATAATTAGTTTGTAGTTTAATATATGACGTCAGTATCAGGTTTCCTGAAAAAAACCAACATTTGATTATGAATGATATTTGGTAGGCGCCACATGTGGAGAAGAATGTGCTTACTCTTTTCGAAACAAATTAAACCTAGTTTAAACTTGTTTTCAATTGTTTCTGTGTCCTTAACCATTTCACAGACATTCTTCGACTGATCTTGTTGATTAAATAGGTAAACAGAAAGGATATAATGATACACCTTAGAGTTTGTTTTGCATTTTGATGACCTTTGGCCAACTGGCAAATTTTTTGTCCCATATTTTTGTCCCGCATGTTTCGCACACATGCCTAGTTCTATTTTATTTCAAACTTGAACAATTCACTAAATGTTTTGTTTTGTACCCCTTTATGTGTGGATTGTAACATTAGTATTATATTAGAATGGTCACTTTCCTAAGAGTTATCACTTTGACTTAACCATACAGTGCCAAACAACATTATAAGTTGTAATATATGACTGTTTACATGTACAATGTTTTATCATACTGAATATTCCCCACAAAACATAATTATAATCTATCCACATCTTTCACTTTTTATAGTTCACATATTCACCAAAAAATCTGAACTGAAAATATGTAATCTGTAACCTGAGACATGGGAAAGAGTGAGAAACTCCAATTAGACGTCCCTTTTTGTCCAAATATCTAAATATCTCCTAATGTGGCGCAAATCGGTAAAACATGCAGTTATCTCTGTGGTAAATGATGGCATTTTTGGCAAGAAAGTGATCATCTCTTGTACACATATATAGTTGAAACTGAAGCAGTCCGCTTTTTTGTTAAATGGTGCGTTCTCAAGAGTCAAATCAAGAATCAAACGTGATTGGCCTGCTCTGTTTGCAAAAATGTATTCATTGCACAAAACATATGTTCGAGATGGGAGTTGAACGTACGCGGCAACTCTGCTAGCATATATGACGTCACGGTATCCAAGGGAAACGGGAAGCTAAAACAGTCGCCAACATTCTTACGCGCCAAGATTCATTCGATGAAATTTTAACATTTATTACGCATCAAAGAAACCAAATCATCCACATGAATCCGTGCCATATGGTGGCCTTTCGTTTATTCTATTGTATATTGCATTAATGGACTTGAGATTAGGGCTAAATGTCGAAATGCTGGCAACGATGCACAAGTTTTCAAAAACACCAATATTTTACGGTTTTATTTATAACAATAAAATAAACATTTACACTTTTTAAATTAATATCCTTCTGATGTGCAATTCGTTTATTTCATTTGGATCACAGCAAAAGATTTATAAAATGTGACTGAAAGTATTAATCTAATGACGGTGAATTACGATATCTTGAGCGCAAATTGTTCAGCTCGAAAATGAAATATGGAAATTTGTTTCCAGTTTTATAAAAAGATCGTCCAAGTCACAAATACGCCGTCATTAGATTCACATTATCAGTCACTTCTTATATACGTTTATTAAAGGGCGCCATCACTCGCTTGATTGGAGTTAGTTTTCGACACATTTTAAAAGTACACTCTTTAGTTTTGTTGTGGAGAGGGGAAGCTCTCATATTTTCATGCAGGTCAAACATTGAATATCTGAATCTATATTTAGGAATTATATCCCAATATATTATGAACCAAGTAAAGGTAATTACGTAGAACATTTTCATCAACCATCAGTGAAATTGCGTACTATATGTATTGTCTTTTGAATACAAAAATGGTTTCAGTTTCTCATTTGCATTTCACGACTTAACGAAACCTTTCTAACTAGGAATTAAGGAACATATCCACATTATTATGGACATTTTCACGATGAAAAAGGAATATCAACTCTAGAATATGATAACCATCAGTAACAATGCGTGTTTAGTGCACGGGCCCATGGCGAAATCTCTACAGTTATGGAACTTTGATATGTTGTTTCGGGCCTCGTTAACAGCCCTTCCCATGATCAAAGACTGTCAGTGACCGCGTGGTGGCGCCCTTTAACAAATTACATACGTACTCACTCTCAACTCGAATATTTAAAAATAGAATCTGAATATCGTAATCAGTTATATGCAGTTGTAAAGCTGTGATTTAACTACATGTTTGGCCGTCATTGGTAGTTTAATGTTCCTGATATCATATAAACTTTCACAAATGAAAAACGAAGTGTAAAATAAATGGTCAAAACTAACAAATCAGTTCATAGTTAAATCATAAACAATTGATACACTTATCTTGGTCGTCATTTACCACGATGGAATTGCAAAATAAATGCGACTATCGAATGAAACAATTTATTTGTCATTGAATATTCGAAAATTTACCAAAATATCATATCGAATACATAAAGTTGTGCGAAAACGCTTTCTGACCTCGTCTGGCCTTTATTTACAACTGATTCCTTACGCAAACACACAAACTGGTAATTGAACGTCGTTAACTGTAAGTGGCTATGTTATCCTTGAGAATAGATTCGTCGGAATCGACACCACTCTTCAGTTTCTTTCCAATCAATTCGTCAATTAATTCAGGTGGGTATCCTTTGGGCTCGGCCACTTTAACTGTCAACATGTCTAACGTCATTGGCACACCTGCTGGAATGTCCGTGTTTGCCACTACAGTTTTTCCAAGCTTCAAAAACGAAATGATGCGGTGATAATCAAGAATAAAGGGCATATTCAAATATGCATTAAGTAATTGTTATGCAAAGTATTTAAATAGGAATATAACTCTAGAAGTATGTAGTACTATCGTTACATATGTGCACACATGTTAAGCACACCAAACATGTAAACGTGGTACATGAACAAAGTATAGAAATGAAACAATATGGAACCAATGTTTGTAGTCAGAAACTAGATAGAACTTGATAGAAACAAAATGTCTGGTTCCTGGTTGTGTCTTATAATAAGATTTCCATCCTACATTTAACACATTGTTATCTCTCAATACATCTTACCTTCTCATACATATACACCTCACACTGCCGCATGTCTTTGTCGTAACTTCCCATGGCTTTCTCCAAAACACGTATATTAGATATTAACTCTGTCAACTCTCTGGGGTCTATAACAGAATAAGTATCTTAATATCTTATTTTGATCAAGGATGAGGCACACATGACAGAGAACTATCATCAACATACGATATTATATATATGAACAAACCATACTGGCATCTATACCAGGACAATAAATCACATCACACAGTATTAAGATTTGTATACTAACAGCGTATTTGTCATAGGTGGCTATGTCGAGTTAAACTTGTGCATATATTTTGGTACATTCATTCATTGTGTAAATTTCACTTAGATTAAAAGCTTTCAAGTCCAATAAATATGGCTTGAAAATGTTATTCACAACAGTCTTTGTTTATATTAGATCCATATCTCGTGTATGCGTGGCGCCTCGACCACCACCCTTTAAGCATAGCAAGGAATTCGGATTATTGCCCATAAATATACGATGACAAATCGAATACTGCCAAACAAAAAGTAGCACAACTTCAGGTTTTAAGTGTGACGAATCGAGTCAAGAGCACCTGTATCAACGATAGGGTAATTCCCTAGTTTTACATGTTAAATTATATTGTGGTTGGAATCGAGGGTGGCCACTGGGCACAAAGGTGGCTAAAATTAAGTAACTTGCGTTACGTGTTTAGGGTTACCAAAACAGCCATTCTATCAATGTCAACAACACTGGGAAAGTGGCCCATAGTTTACAGCGGATATGTGGCACTAGTCTTCCCAGATCGACGAACACTTTGTACCAACATGGAAGGTCGTAGGTATCAACTATACAAGGAACTGTCACGACTTGACCCTCAGCAGTCTATTGTGGTTATTGGAAGACTGTACACGCTTTCTACCATACTAAACTGGTCACCAGATATAACAAGTGCTCCTGCGTTTTATTGATTGATTGTATTGATTGTATTGATTGATTGATTGATTGATTGATTGATTGATTGGTATAATAACTGATAACGGACGACCCGCTAATCTATAATGATTTATATGTGGCATGGATGAGAGAGGCGCTGCAGCGTTATTTATACAAGTGAATTTGTAAATAAATAGTGTGAAAAATGTTTTTTTCTGCTATCGGTCCTGGAATTTGCATAATTATACACCATTATCAAAAAGCATTCATGTAATCAAAGGTTTGTCAAGCAAACACGGGGAAAATAAAAACTAATTAAAGAAATTCTGGTTTCAAACATCCAATGTTATTTTGCAATAACTGGTGGCATGACCATTTCGGCATTTCCACTGCCTAATTGTTACCATTGCATCAATCACATTGGCTTGTAGAGCAATGAATGTTCAATTGTGATTATAACTGGTACGAATACCCTTGCCACACTCACAATATGGTTATGCTAATATTGAGTGTATAGGACTGTCAACAATACAAATATGAGAAATAACACGTCGAGGTTAAAAAAACACACAACCCTTTTATATACATCTTTTTTTTAATCAAGACAAGTGGTCAATGACGTATATTGTGTGCAGTTTATACCAACCTAGAGAAGCTTTGTGATCACTTCCTTTCCACGATTTATCCAACGTTATATGTCTTTCTACCACTTTTGCTCCCATGGCAACTGCACCTAATGTAATAGCCAATCCCTGTTCGTGTCCAGAATATCCAATTGGAATATCGGGAAACTCCTTTAGATATGTCTATTTGAATACGACAGACATAATATGTTAATCACTCATGGCAGCGGCATTGTTTTATATTATGTGCATCTATTCGGGGTATACGAGTCAGGTACCGTGAACGTTGGTGTCAACAATCCGAGACAAGATAATTATTATATTTTATTTCGAGATAAGAAACAATAATCCATAACAACACACAACATAAGTGTATGAAATGAACTCCTGGTAAATAACAGATCAAACCGCACAAAATACATATATTGAATTTATAGTTTCAAGTTCCTAGTTATTTTTAAGGTAGTGACAATAAGTATGCCACCATTAATTACCGTAAACCTACATAGATTTTGCAATATTGAACATATTAATAAAATCTTACCTTAATAACATTCAGATGGACATTTTCTGGGGCAAGAGGGTAGCAGCTTGTACATTGCAGGATACAAAACTTATTATTAACTGGTTTGACAATTTCATAGACTTTTCTCATCGTTTCTAAAGTTTGCATTCCAGATGATATCACCATTGGTCGTCCTTTCTTAGCTGCATGCGTTAAATATGGCAAATTGTTTGTGTCCATGGATGCCACCTTAAGAAAACTAACTCCGAGTTCATCAAGGAAATCTACTGCTTTCTGTAAGGAATCACACACAAGTAGATGTTCATTTACAAATAAATTGATGACGTTAATAACTATAGAGGGATCACTTTGGTACAAAGTATTGTTAAAATGTTGTAGACATTATTTATAAGATTTAGAATCCTATAGTTGCTTTAAATAATTTATTTATATTATAATAATAATAACTTATCTCTAGATAAACTTATTGGTAGAATGTGTTTTTGTTGATTTAAAAAAGCCTTGGATGAGATTAGTCATATTTTTTTCTCAAGCTGGCTAACATTATATTGGTCAATTACGCTATTCTAAAGGTGCACCCTAACAGAACATCCTGTGTCGGTCCCCGCTTAAGATATTGCCAGCATTAGGTTTCTTATATGTGTCTTAAGTAGTTGATAGTCCTTATTTACTTTACTCTGAATGGCATGAATACACATTGACACAAGTTTAACATTTCCCAACCATACCTAGCAATAACCAGCCCTACCTCGTCCATACCGGACGCAGTCATTAATATTCCAATAGAGTCTGCATAGGCTTTAAGTTCGTAGTACTGCTCGTGGCTGAATTCAAGATATCTTTTATGTTCACCGTATGTTGCTCCCCAAGAATTCGGGGTGTTATAGGGACGTATCAATGCTTCTTTGTTGAACTTGTATTCAAGTTCACTTTTTTGGAATTTAGCACAGTCAGCGCCGGCATCCTAGATAAAGAAAACAGAAAATAACACATACAGCGAGACACAATTATTGCATTCAACACATTTGATATATCTAGAAGTACGAATGTAACACATAGTGGTGGTGTATAGATGCAACCTTTATATAAAACATGCATGACATGAATCGATCCGTGAAACGCCATCTAATAATGACGGGGTACACCTGTATTCGCATTGCTAGACTGAACTGCATCATACTTTTAAATCATTAGAAATGTATAACGTTTATTTGTATAACACTGAATATATAAAAGCAATAAAACATACAAAATGCATTGACAATTTATCAAATAAAGTGTCAGATAAACCAAAGTGACGTCATACACTAAATTAAAATCTCAGTTCAAGGAGGTAATATACTTGTCAATAGCAGAAAGTTCGTTGTTCAATTTTGATTTGAAAGTCTGCCCTTGCGTATTGAGACTGGACGTTTTAGACATGAATCCTTAGTGTGAACGTATAATTGTAAGATATGTGCCCAAATTAAGTTCGAAGATGAATATCAGTAATGTTCTATTGTATTTTGAACGCTAAAATACCTGTATGTAATACAATACGGGACGCAGTTAATAACGCATTAGTAAAATTATGCTATTCTTCTATACATTCCCTGTGTTATTGTAGCATATACCTATGGCCTATGATTGTATTGACTTGTAATCCCAACGAGCTGGTGATCTTGTAAATAGTATAATTATTAATTTCAAATGTATGTATTTTCTCACATGTCACTTTAATCAACTACTACTATAACGTCAATACAGATGGCATGTATACGCACGAGTCTAGGTGCAATTATTTCCAATAATTAAATGTAAAGCAGATTATTTTTTGTGTAGCCGCTCGGAATTGTGTTAAATAAAATGAACTGTTACCATTGTTACCATAAAAAATATATGTGATTATTGAACTGTATTGCAATGCGCGATTAAACAAAACAGACACCACTATCTGAGACGACCCGACTGTTTGACATACATTCCACCAATTTGAAAATATATTACATTACAACAACTGGGCAGTCGTTCCAAGTTGAGTTTACTGGGGTTTATTCATTCAAAACTCATTGACAAGCAGCTCTGCATATAATGTCGTTGACAAATTTCTGAAATAATACATGTAAATATACAAAAACTTGTTTTTTATTAAAGTGGTACTGCGCATTCTTGGCGGTTATGGCAATGTGTGTTGTAGAAATGATTTCATAAAAATATACTTGTTGTCTGGCAAAGAACTTGTTGATGTTAAGACATTATTTTTAATAATAAATTCATATAAATTGCTGCTAAAATGTTAGTTTTTGCATATTATGTGGCGTTTTTTGAAAACAACATTGAACAATCCCATACATGGTTTTATTTTTGCTTAAAATTTATGTAAAGCTGCTTGTTGCAGCTGACGACGTTATAATGCTGGTTTTAGTGTCACTTGGATAAAATATGTTAATTAGTAAAAGTAATTTGCCCAATATGTATAATAAGTGTTCGGTACATTAGTTGTGCTCTTCAAAACAGTAACATCATTCGCGGCTTTAAATGGTTATCTTGTCTTATGGGAGGTTGTGAGTTTGTATGACTTCCGCGGTTCGCCCAAATGCCTACTCTGACAAAATTAGTGAATGAGTATTGGATGAATATTTAGTTGATAAATATATCTCGTCAGTTAATTATAGTTATTAAATGTATATATTACCATATCTCTCGAGGAATAAAATGGCCCTAGCACTGCAATCGTCCCAACGCGTATTGATGTATTTAAAGGGCGGCAGTCGTCGCGCCGCGTTCTGTTCGATGTGGGACTCATAGCGACGTATACAACGCGTGTAAAATGCATTGTTTATTTGCATGAAATTCGAACACGCGCTGCGCGACGACCACCGCGCTTTAATGATCCCACGAGAAGTATCCGACGAGCGTCAATTACGTTGTTTACATGGTATTGGAACGCGCTGCTCGACGTTACGTTACGTTACGTTGCTAATCAAATAAAAACGATGCCGTATAAGTGGTAATAATATCAATGGTGATTGGATTACCCATTTACCTTGAAAACAGTTACGGTACTACAAATACACCTCTTACCTTCGCAACTTGTATCATTTGTTTGGCAATCTTCATGTCTCCCTGGTGGTTTTGTCCGATTTCTGCGATGACAAAACATGGATTGTCACCACCAATCATTCTACCCGGCGCGATTTCAAATTCAAGCGGCATGTTTTTGAGCTCTGCACAGTTTTTCTAGAGGAGTATGTCATAAGCTGTATGCTTTTAAAAACCAATTCCAACTGGCTTTATTTAATTCGTATTCACTACATGTGACACATGTTGCAGCTTATTAAATGTTCCATGTGATCCTTCAGAACAAATGATTGATTGGTTGGTTGGTTGCAGCCACGCCAACGAAACCAACACAGCATATCGTAATGTTGGGATCATAGGAATAAATAATTTCTAAATAATTGGCGTTCTATTCGTTTCAAACCATAACCCTCGGTTATATTATTGGTTCTATATAGTTTTGCATAAAAAATTTATAGTATATATATATAAGTGTAATAATTGTATTTGCATTGCATCTTTCTGTGGCAAATATATTGTGATTTGTCATTTTTGGATAATAACCTTCACTCGATGTGTGGTTATATTGACACTAATATAAAAAAGCAAAGATTGAAATAGTTAAACTTAAATGTTGGTTCATTTGTGAAAACAATAGACAACATGGAATAGAAGTAAATTTATATTTATCATAGGGCAGTGGTGGTCACACAGCCTCCCACTGTACACTACCTCATTGTACATATACCTGGTTACATCGCTACCTAGAACATGAAGTGATGCTCTTTGAGATCATCATAAATAACAAACCATCAAGGCATTTCAAGTAGTTTCAATCAATTATATTTGTTTTCATTTCAAAGAGCGTAATGTTTGGGTGATCGTATGTACAATCAAGACTATGCTCGCAAAATATTTGCTTCTCTTTGCGAGTTCAAACTTCAAACTCAGGTAAATAGTCGAAACTACTAAAGTGAACGTTTGTTAATCATTGGTTTACCACTAAGTCTTTGTTGGCGTTGGCGTTGAATACCAAATATGAATACGACTTTTCGACAATTCACGAATTTTATAACCTACTTGGCGTCGGTCTCGCTGCAATTTATTTATTTATTTTTGTGACATTTACTCATGAACCAATATAATTAGAGTTGCCCTTGATTGTGAAAGGCAAAAACTGAATTAGACAAACTTCGAGTCAATAGTAGAGAGAAAATCATACCTTTCTATGCAATGGGCAGTATGTGTAGGCGGCGTGGGAATGTATAATACCTAGTTATTACAATCTCTTTCAGGGCAATCCCAGGAAACAAAACTCTGTATTTCGTGTCAATGTGATTGGAAATTTTGAAAAATAAGTACTTAAAAGTTGCAGAACAAAAGTACTTACGGAAGTTGTAAAGTACTTACAATCTGGGAGGACAAACTGACCTTTTTCCGAACAGCATGTCTCAGTGTTTATTATGTGCGACACACATGTCAGTTGCTTATGACGTAGGTGCTGACACAGCGCCGGTACAGCCACGCATATTTTGAGATCGTAGGGGCATGTTGGGAGTATCACAAACGGAACTAGATTTACTAAGTTGGGCAACGTGTTTATCTTATCGAAATGAATGGCGTCATATTACAACCTAAGATGCGAAAAGATAAGCGACATTTTGCCGCGGTGATACCGGCGAGAGGTGGCAGCAAGGGTATCAGACTGAAAAATATCAAACTACTTTGCGGCCAACCACTGCTTTCATGGGTGCTTCGAGCAATCATCGACTCCAATGGTAAGACGAAATTTACTCACAGTCCTTGTTTGACATTGGTGTCGTCGTATAATATTGTGTGAAAATGTTTCCTTACTCTTCTTAAAATAATTGAAATTATATAATTAATACAGTTTGTTAATGTGAAGAAAGTATGTCATTAAATTTGAGTATCCAAACCCCGTAAATCACTAATACTTGTTTTGGCCGATCAACCTGCACTATATATAATCTGTTATATACTAGTGTATAGCAAGGGTAAGGTCCTGTACCAGGACATAGCCGCTTCGTCCCATAGACGTCCATATATTGACATGAATAGATTGCAAGGCCCCTGTGATATCGTTCTGACATGCATGCATTTCTCACTCATATTAAAACATAAACCCATATTATTGCATAAATTTGTCCATCTAGAATTTGATAGTATTTGGGTGAGTACTGAAAATGCTGACATAGCCCGAGTAGCAGCTGAATGGGGCGCCCAGGTTCATCACAGGAGTCCCGAAGCAGCTCAGGACAATACTCTAGCGGTGGACACCATGACAGAGTTTGCTGAACATCATCCAGGTAACGTATTTTGAGATCAAGACAATTCTTTAAATTGCAGATACATCGTGAATATATTGCTTATTGGTATATAGGATCATGTGATTTTTTTTGTTTAGATAAACACGACATTTATTCACGCAAATAACACACATGATACATGGGACTCTATGGGTGTGTGTGTAAAACATGGCCCATTCAATTCGCAGTACATGTTCTTTTCAATTTAACATTGTATTTGCCCTGTGGTATACTCTGTGTTATGTACTTATTTTACTTCATATGGTAGCAGATGCCATGAGTTTACAGCCTTAATTTAAGCAACAAAAAACGTTTCACACACATTTACCCCCCCCCCCCGCATTTGAATAGTAAATACAATGTAGTAATACTTATTGTTATATGTTGTTCTGACCATTCATACTGTAAGCAGCATGTTAGCTCAATTATACGCTCCACGGAACTTAGCGATTAAAAAAATAATTAAAACTTGATAATAATATTATAAATTTGTTTGTTAATAAAGTATAGATTTAAATAGATTAATGATTCAGATGTTACGATGGCAACATGTGTGCATTGATTTGTTTTTCTAAAATGTAGCATATGTGGCGTGTTTATTATTTTTAGAGGCTGCCATTCAAGATTACTTAAACATATTTAATTGCAAATCTCTAAATTTTCGTTTAATTCTCGATGAGCGGTTTGCAGTGATTCTTATATCTTTGTTTAGTATGATATCAAGCTTAACTTATTGTTATGTAAACACACACCTTCAACTACATACATAGTAAGAAACGTTCAGATTTTGCTATATAATAATATAATGATCTGTCACTATTAGTAGCGCAATTGTGTTTGGTTTCGTTAGTATTTTATTTGTACCAATGTTCGAAGGCTTGTTTAATTAAGTTACTATGTGTTTTTAAATTATTAAAAACAATGGGTATTTTGTGTGAATAAATTAATTCAATAAAAAATATTTAAGAATATTGCACATGTGTATATTCAACGTCACATATTACTATATTTTAATCATTAGAGCCACTTTCTTCTCCTAGTTCGACTCCTGAAATTACTTGTTCGCTCTGCTACTGCTTATAATTTTAGTACGAAAGCTTCTCCCATTGACAAAGTCTCTCGGGAGAGAATCACAGCTGCACTTGTCACATGTGTATTAGGGAAGCCACTGTGTGATGTGCTGGTATGTGCTGGCTCCAATCTGAAATTAGATTTTCCCTCCGTTACAGCTTTTAATTTTTAATTTTTTAGTGCAACAAAAGCCTCTCCCGGTGATAATGTCTTTCTGAAAATTCACATTATTTATATTAGAAAAATCAGCATGGAGGTGTGCTGGTCTGCAACGGCCCCAATGTGAATAAAATCAATTTTATTGTTCTTTTTGTTTATTTTTTGGTTATTAAGTTTATATATATACATGTATATATATCGCATCTCGGTAAACAGATTTTAATCAGACTGCATCCGACAATATTGTGTCATTCAAACTAAACTTGGCACAGTTTTTTGATGCTAGGTGACCTGCATCTCATCATTTTCTCGTCCGATAAGTGCACAGGCTGAATACTACAACAGCATGTTATTCATTTAAAATTAGTTAATCTTAATAAACTATCTATACTTAATACCAATACGTTCTTCTGTACACTGTAGTCAACAAAGCCATGACACTGTATTTATAAATTCTAACGGAAATTACTCGTTGGTAGCATTTGATCTTTTGGTGGTGCCGGTAAGCCATTATTCTGGTTCTAAATCACGTGCTCGTATCCTTTTCATCCTTTATAAACCACGCAGTAAATGTACTGTGTCTTTTAATATTCAATTATCGTTGTTTTATATTTGTGGCAACTTGCAATATTTGGAAAAAATAATCATTGAGAATAGCAATGAAGAACGATGATCACGGCATATAGAGAATACATATTTAGTTTGTGTTCTGTTTATCTGGTGGTAATCATACAAACACCAGATAATACCTCGTAGCGGCAAAAAACACGACAATACAAGATATAAATATGCAAATCAAAATATAAGCACAAGCTGTCTGTAATAGAAACCTACTCGCTGTACACATTAAAGTGCTGATGAAATGCTTGCTATTAATTAATTAATTAATTAATTGATTATTAATTAATTGATTGATTAATTTATTGAGTTATGTGTATTGATTGTAAATTTGAAAAAAGAAAAAGAAAAAAAATTAAATAAATAAATAAATAATTAATTAATTATATACTATATTCTCGACGTTGTAACTTTCAATGAAAATTGTATTTAATTACATCGAAGTGGACAACTCAGAGTCTAACAGTGGCGCCGCGAGTGGCGTAAAACATTGATCACTAGATTTTCCTTGGAAATGTTTAAAGATTTCCAGTTATATTTCATCGACATTAATCAACGTAATAAGGCCACCCTAGGCCAAATATTACGTTCATTATCCACAATCCCGGTTTTGTATACCACGTTTCCCGGTCATCATGTTGACGACCGGACAGACACTGCTCAAATAAAAGATACACACGAATCCAACTACGGTCAGATGATTAATTGTTTACAAAATGTTACAGATATACAATCACACCATTTGATAATGAACTTGTTTGGCAGATTTTACCCCCTCCTTCCAAGTAGGAGAACTGTTTCCTTGTTTAAACATTATAACATTATATCATCGCACCAATGTCATATATTATGTTAATTCACAGAGGTAGATATATTAGCAATGATCCAATGTACATCGCCTCTCCTGCATCCTTGGATGTTGCACGAACCAGTCAAGATGATTAGGGAACACAAGTATGACTCTGTCTTTGCTGTTTCTAGAAGACATCTTTTCAGGTGGAAAGAGATTCAGAAACCAGGTATAGTTAAGTTAGTGAGAATATTTACCATCATATATTATATTATTATATTATAACATTTTATAATAATAATGTTTTTGAGATGCTCTTGATCAAAAGTACAAAATAAGTTCACATTAATGTTATCTAATCATAATACAATCATACATATTCACACCAAATTTCAGCTAGTAGGCTTTCTTGAAAAATTATATTTTATTACTAACTTTAAAATTATTTACCATTTTTTCTGTCTTAAAAACAAACTTTAATGCATCCGGTGAACGCAGACAAGATGTACATTTTAAGTTATCTTTCTATGACTGACATGAATGATTAAATCCGCTGCATAATTATGTATTCGCTGTAGTTCATTTATTTCTGTTACGGTATTACCATAGAAGAAAATGTTACAGTAAACATGTCTCGAAGTAATAATGGCACGTATTAATGCATTGGTTGAAAGACGCGATTCATTATCAGAAAGTCGACTTAAATGCTAGAACCATGATTTACTAATCAATGTCACATGACTAGTCGTTGATAATTCAAAGTGACACCAAGATTTATCATACAATTTCGAAATTGAAAATGTATACTCTAAAGAATCTAAAGAATATGTTGTTGCTGAGGCAACCAAGTACAATGGTCTCCGTTTTGTCGGTGTTCAATTTGAGTTTATTCTGATGCATCCACAACTGAATAGCACTGATGTGCCTAACAACTCTGTCATTGGCGACAATACAATCTTTAGAGATAGAGATAGAGATAAACGTTGTTGCTTGTCCTCGGCGAATAAGTGTTAGTTTAAATCGTAATTATCAATGATACCTGACAGTGTGGGTGTGCTCATCGTAAATAAGAAAGGTTTCCATGTGGTACACCCGAAATCAACCATTATTTTGGCGATAATGTGCCTTTCATTGTAGCACTTTGTGAACATTCTGTCGCGTAGGAATGTAAACACAATAACCTCCCCAAATTTCGATTAATAATTCAAGCTAGACTAATAAATATTAACATCGACGATATCAAAACCTGCACATAAATCAAACAAAACAATGTGAGTCATCCATGTATCAGGGGTAATTCTTCTACTCTGGGTGGTCCACACTTGTCAGGGGGGAAACTCGTCTCGTCTCTATATCTCGTCCCCTTGAGGTGCGGGATCGGGAAAGTCACTTATACTTTACAGTCAAATAAGGCACACACAACGAAATACGTTTCAACTCTCGTCTTAGTCGATCTTTTGGAGCACTCTATAAGACACAGCGCCCTGGGGAAAAGTCCCCAAGACTCTAACAAGGCTGAAGCAAGACTCACCCAAGACTGGACTACCTCAAGGCTCGCCCCTGGACTGGACTCTCGACTCTCCAGGACTGCACTTTCTCTACTGCGTCTATCGTGCTGTGCTCCCCAAGACCAACTCAAACTCTCTTTATTCATTTTCACAACTCTAACCAATTACAAAGCAGTAAAAAGACTCTAGGGCGTAACCTTCAATCATAAAGCCAATCACACTAAGCACTGAATACATCATATCTTTTGATTAATCGTTCACTACATTAATAACTATGGATACCAACTGTCAGAATCGCGACGGTTATCTGGTAATTAGTTCCAAATCACTGAGCCAAGTTCCGTCCAAAACTTCAAATAGGCCTAAACGATGACAGACATAACACAGCAATTCAGCTAATAATCAACTAATTAAGTCGGTTAACAGATACGCGAAAACAAATTCATGACACATCCCTTCACCCAAACTGAGAGATATGCCTCCCGGCATTACACGTTCATAAATCAAAGATACCGTCAGCCACTCATCGTCATAGGGTTAAATACAATACTAATAAAAGGAATAAATCAAAAAGAGTAAAACACACTAATTAAGTACAATGATTATAATGTCTAAATACAATGGTTATAAAGTCACAAATATCAACGGTTATAAATCAAAAACAAGGGAAAGGCTACCAATCGACTCGCTTTTCTCAAAACGGTTCGCTGAGGTGACCCTTCGCTGCACTGTCTCCGTTACTAAGGTTACAAACTCTATATCAAAAGGTCAAAAATAACTAAGGCGTGGCGGCGTAACCAAGCGATCGGCCAATCGCTGCAGTCAACAGCATGATCACATGATTACCAGGGATGCGTCTCTCGGTTAAAGCATTGCAAAGCGGCAACTAATAAACAATGAATAAAAAGCTATTAATCAAACTCCTGTCATATACGCTTATAAACTTCAACTGAACTCACAAGTCGTTAATCTAAACACAAGTCATACAGCGTGGAAACAGAATGCAAAGACAAATTCGCTTTCATAATACATTACTCCTCTGGCAATTCAGACGGGGGAAAAGCAAAACAATAGAAACTACTGAGTTACATATAATCCTGTCAATCATGAAGAAAAGCTTGCGATATCAAACAATACGCATATAGGCGCACCAAACTCTCACCTCAAAAAAACATTAAAAAACGTTACAAAGGTGCTATCAACTCAAAAAAGCGTCAGAAGTATTCCGGAAACAACACATAAACAAAAACAACTCTTAAAACGTCGATATCTCTGTACATCGACAAATCTCAAAACTCTGAAAAACTCGTTGGGGCATTACTTTCCCCATCATATTCCGTATTAAAACTCCATAAAACTTCACAAAACTCAAAACACTGTGTTGCAAATACTTGTCCACTGAGGCGCGCTTAAATCGTTATAAAGGACCTCGCACGTCACCAAATATCAGTTCAAAACAAAGATCTGGGCGCTTACATAACATACAATTCGACATCACAAAAAACGGTAAGAAAAACAATAGGAAAAGCAAGCAATACATTACATTACTGAGCAATAGGGTTAGGGTTCTGGAAAAGAGTTCAACGTCCTGAGTTACACAGTGTCAGTTACAGTGTCCAACGAGCGGTTCTCTAAGCAATACACAGATAGCTAAAGTCAAAGTCTATAAGCGTCTCTTCTCTTGTCGCGTTATTCCGGGTCGTTCTTTGTCATCTTCTTGTCTTTAATGTCGCTCAATTCTTAATTATTCAGTCCTATATGATACTCGTCCTTCATAAGGGGTTCTGAAATCTTCATGTCGTCAGCGTCGTTCATCGGTGCCATACTGGTAAAGGTGTTAGTCGTCAATGGCGGTTTCGTCTCTGCCATCGAGCTGTTAGTTCGGTTCACAAGAAAGACACACCTTCGCCATTTCACTTCTCTTCACAGGATGTCAATGTGCATAAGACGCAATGCCCAGGGTTCTCACACCACGTATCAGGGGTAATTCTTCTACTCTGGGTGGTCCACACTTGTCAGGGGGGGAAACTCGTCTCGTCTATATCTTGTCCCCTTGAGGTGCGGGATCGGGAAAGTCACTTATACTTTACAATCAAATAAGGCACACACAACGAAATACGTTTCAACTCTCATCTTAGTCGATCTTTTGGAGCACTCTATAAGACACAGCGCCCTGGGGAAAAGTCCCTAAGACTCTCACAAGGCTGAACCAAGACTCGCCCAAGACTGGACTGCCTCAAGGCTCGCCCCTGGACTGGACTCTCGACTCTCCAGGACTGCACTTTCTCTACTGCGTCTATCGTGCTGTGCTCCCCAAGACCAACTCAAACTCTCTTTATTCATTTTCACAACTTTAACCAGTTACAAAGCAGTAAAAAGACTCTAGGGCGTAACCTTCAATCATAAAGCCAATCACACTAAGCACTGAATACGTCATATCTTTTGATTAATCGTTCACTACATTAATAACTATGGATACCAACTGTCAGAATCGCGACGGTTATCTGGTAATTAGTTCCAAATCACTGAGCCAAGTTCCGTCCAAAACTTCAAATAGGCCTAAACGATGACAGACATAACACAGCAATTCAGCTAATAATCAACTAATTAAGTCGGTTAACAGATACGCGAAAACAAATTCATGACACATGACACATTCTAATGTGTATTAAGTGATACATAATATATCAACGTACATTGTAACTATAACATGAATATATCAACTTAATCTTATTATAATCAACATTCTAAATATAATTTACATGTTCTTAGAACATTATTTGTTACCATGATTTCTATGTCATTCAGGGGAACTAACAGTGCCGGAAAATCTGAATCCAAGTTACAGACCCAACCGCCAAGCTTGGCCTGGCGAACTATATGAAAATGGTCAATTTTATATGTTTACTCGAGAATTACTGGACAAAAGACTATTTCAAGGTGGCAAGTAAGTATGAATGATCAATTACATATTCTATTACATCGACGTGTCAAACAAATTTTAAAAGATTTTCTTCTTACTGAAGAGGATTTTTTTAATATGGTGTTGTTTATACACATTGTTTCGTCACAAAAAACGCCCGGGTCAAGTAATTTTCTCTGTGGAATTTGTCGGGGATGCGTCCTTTATTGAAAGGCTTTATAATGCTTTCGAAATCTATTAAATCATATGAGCTATATAATATTGGATAAACAAATGTCGAGATACAACTTTCAGCATGTGATTTCAAGAAGCAAGGCCCTTCGCCTAGCACACGTTCACCAAACCGTTCATAGCCTGGCACACTACCCCAATACATGTGATTTATATATACATATTCTTTTCTTCTCATTATATTTTCACTCTAATCATACAGAGTCAGCTACTATGAACTACCCGAGGCAAGTAGTGTAGACATTGACACAGATTTAGATTGGTCGATAGTAGAACAGAGAGTCACCAAGTTTGGTTACTTTGGATTGGAGAAGAAAAAGAATGTCAAGTTAGTGGTATTTGACGTTGATGGCGTTATCACCGATGACGAGATCCATATTAGTGACAAAGGTACAGTACAACATAAAACATTCCCCGTTCTTGTAATTAAAGTCGTCAGCTTGCACCATGTTGTTTTCGATATGGGATTTCAGTACCTAAATGTGTCACGAGTAAAAATTAATTATAGTTTACACATCAGTGTGTTGCTACGGATGCTCATCATTTGTTCATTCGTTTTTGAAGGCGAAGAATTCTGTTCCTATCATCGCAGTGATCTAGAAGGTATTAAACTCCTTAAGAAAGCCGGAATTGAGGTGCGCCTGTTAACTGAAAATAGCAATGCCCCGAGTGTGCGGCTAATAAGTGAGAAGATTGAATGTATGCTTGAGATTGGCGTCAAGAATAAGGTTGAGTTGCTTACCAAGTGGGTCGAGGAGTTGAACTTAGATTGGCAACAGGTAACATATATGGGTAAGTACCTGCATGTACGCATATGTTGTAAAACATGTATTATTTGTAAAACACGTGATCCATTGAGTGATACACAACATTTACTCATGTATACAAATGCACTGGTTTGGTGTCATTGTATTGCATTAGAACTTAGTAAACAATTAGAAATTAATCTCACTCAAGCAAAATGCATAACTCGGGGAACTTTCGTTGGTAAACTGTGAATGATGTATGTAGCTGAATGGGATCCGTTATTCGGAAAAGAATCTGGAAAGGATTATACAATGTTAGCAAATTATAAAAAAATAAATATTAACCTCGAAAAAATCACTTTTTATGAGCCGTAAACAATCGTTATATATACTAACAACATATATAATCATAGGCTGGCACATAAATAATTTATGAAAATGAAATTATTACGTTTGGTAAAATTATTATCAGTAATATTCGAGTCAACCATGTCAGCAAGACACGACGTAATGGCAGTCACGTACTGATCTGATCTGAGTGTGGCAACAATCCATTACTCAATAACAAGAAAACAGAAAACATCATTCTGTGAAAATTGAGAATATGTTCTAACAGCTCAACTTGAGTAATTAAACAGGCTGCCTATCTTTATGTTACAGGCAATGATGAGACAGATATTCCAGCAATGAGAAAGTCAGGTCTTGGAGCTGCCCCTGCCGATGCACAGACTGAAACCCGATATGCTGCGCGTTTCATTGCAACCAATCGTGGTGGACGTGGCGCAGTTAGACAGTTTTGTGACTATATTCTACGTCTGAGTGAGAAATGATTCACTGTGTACGGCAAAATGTAGTCCATTTATAGTCACAGAGCCTTGAAAGGTGTACACAGTCAGCTTCTGCAGGTGAACATAATAATAGAAAATCAACAAAAATATTATTCAAAATTGCACGCAAAACAAATCTTGTCTGCAAATGTTTATGGAAGAGGGTATCCAGTTTTTCTGTTTCGACAGCGGTATGGTAGAATAGTGCTTATATCATATTGCCAGTTATTTGTAACTATATTCACATGGGAAAATCTTTAAAATACACATGTCCCTGTTATAAACAACGTATTTTATATATTTCTTCTACATAAATATACCGATAGAATTCCTGGAACAGACAACATTACTACGAAAAGCATAACAAAAATACAACAACGTCATTTGGCGCGCCAAATTATATTACGTATTATTATATCCGGGTGCAACAAGACCCCTAACTGTACATACTGTAAAACCTGTCTTTTTAGCTAATCTGTAATTTCTTTAATTCAAGATGCAGCTAATTTAACGGAAAGTTACAGGGAGATAGTGAACACTTTAGCTAAATTGAGATTCTGTTAATTCATGCCAAGAGTCAAATTCGCTAAAATTGCATGTAGCTATTTCAAAGTGTAATTCGATTTTAAAAACATTCTGTATCAAACATGTTCACAAGGATATTTATATATTATTGACTATTATATAGTCCTGATCGTGGAAAATTATAATGAAATTCAATCATTTCGTTATGCAGTCAACATTTGGTCATCTGTTACAATGGTAGTTATTCGCATATTCCAATGTGATTTATTTTTCCTTGTTTTGATAGTCAATATTTAACCAGTTTTACCGCTGTTTTTTAGTATTGTGAACATAAATTAATCACAATTAATCCTAGTTGGTTATGTTATGTATGCTATGTAAGGTGAAGCAATTTATTGGATGAATAAACTCATATTGTAATATATTTTATTGTCTATTGTCTATTACATAACCATGACAATGCTGACATGTGATATACTTCAATGTCCAACATAATCTTTCTGGGTGGATAAAATTAACATTAAACATATATCGCTGATATACTATATATATAGTATATAGTTATATTATAAGTATATAGGGTTATTTACAAGACAAAAGCATTTTACGATAGTAACCAATATATATAAGTAGGTAAATGCCATGTTAATTGTCGTTTGATACCGAATGCGGTTGGCTCACTTTGGCACATTCAAACTTCTTGGCCTCAGACGCGTAAATAAATGTTCTTCAGCTCTTTGACAATCAGGGTGCTACCTACCGTGCAAGTGGCAACATACACGCATTTTTTACATCATGAAACTGTGCCAATATTGATATATATTTTAAACTTTTTTATTAATCGTCGTGAAAAATTACATGCACACAAGGCGGTTATAGGTTTTCTGAGAAAAGTGTCCAGGAAATTGAATAATAGAAATATATGTATTTCATTTGACAGCACGCAGATCCCTTATTTGTTTCTGTTTCAAATTGAAACTCATAATTTGTTAAATTGGCTTCAAATATGTCACTAGATTATAGGTATATTAGTTACTTTGTATTTAATGTAAGTGACCCTTAAGGATGTAAAGTTGAATAATATTGTGGTTGACTACACAGATATTTCTCATAGAGGTTTTTGAATGACGTGACAGTTGGAGGAAACGAAATACTAGTAGTTGATGGAATTGAATTCCATAAGTGTGCCCGGCGTCGCTAAAATGAGCTTAGTTTACTCTAAGGTATGTGGTTTACTGTGTTATAATTTTAACTGCCAGTGGGTGGATTTGAGATGAAGATCTGCCGCTGTAGCTGTGAATTTGGTCATTCGTTGTGAATCTTGTTTATATATGTTCTGCTGTACAACCATTCGTGGATTTATACACATGGGTAGCATGATACAACTGTCCTCGATTACTCAAGCTGAGCAATGTCATTGTTCAACATCAACATACTATGTCGTTTCTGTGAGCATATTTCTTCGCCTTTAGAATTCTCGAAATAATCAGACCTGCTCGATTGTGGAGTGCCTGCAATCTGTGGTGACTGCCAGTGTCTGCACAGTGATCAAACTGTGCTAATGCAAAGCTTGTCAACAAATAGTTAAGATGAGCTAAGAACAATACCATATAGATTGTAAACTGAGTTTGAAAATCGGTTACCCCGAACATGCTTTCGGTGTGTGAGGGGGGCACGATTATATTTACACAGCAATACCTACAACAATAAAAAAAGGTTATTGGTCAAGAGGCGTGGTCTGGACGGCCTACTCTATATTCCTCTCTGTACTGTGACAATAATAGCAGTGGGCGATTAAGACGATTACGTAATTTGTATACCTGAATATGCAAATTAGGTATGGGCAATCACATCATTATTTCTGACACCCACCAACAAAAATGTATTAGATGTACTACTTAACTCAAGTGTCAAATTAAACCAGACCACGGAACCCCAATAATGGACTTTGCTACAAGAGCACAGTCGTGTGTATCCTTGGTGTTGCATTGTTGTTTGCATGTCAATTTCACTGTTACTGATACTATAAATATAATATTTACAGGGACAAACACAACTGTCGATAGGGTAATTCAGAAGAACCTATTTGTGAATATGAATCGCCAATGAGTTACAACACAAAACAACAAAATCGGTAATATTTGTTTTGTTTTGCTCGAATTAATCATCATATGCTTTTTTGGTTATTGCCAGGCCGCCCTCGCAATAAATTCTGGTCCGTCCCTAGCGCGAATAGACTGATGGGTAATCAGTCACGTGTGCTAGTGTTGGCCGCCATTTTCGCATTTTGTGGAAAGAGATAATGTGAGTACTTGTTCCGAACTCTATTTTTAAGAGCACAACTCAACAACTCAGTTGTTGTATTGAGCTGAATACGTAAACATAAATGTACGTGTTCTTTACGTCAGTATTAGTTTTCACATAACTCACCTGTACCGATCTCCGCTAGTAGTAGTAGTCGGTCGTTTGTGTCGAATTTTCATTGTGTGAAACCGTAATGTCAAACGCTACTTGGACGCATGTTTTGCTCCGTAGTTTGTTTTGAAATATGCACAAAGACGTCAGTAATTTAATTAGAACATTTACGAGATGTTAATTATTAAGATCAACCTACCACATAATAGTTACCTCTACATATGTAAATAACATGTTAAAATTGTATCTCCACGAATAAGACAACAGAAACGCTACAATCGGAATAAAACGCATTGGTATAAACTATAACGCTATCATGTTGACGAAAAGAAACCCTTAGTCTGTAAGCAATGAACACATGTTGTATGTTATTGTTATTATGGTATTTAAAACGTCGCTGCAATTACACAGGTAGTTCTGGAAATTCACTGATGACCCTCAACTTTGAAAATTTCAACCAGTCAAAGGTGTCAGAAGTTTTCCATGTCATCGTCAGGTGTCATAGAAATTTGTATGTGACGAAAGAAGTTTTCGGTCTCCCACCTCACAAATAAACTGTGATAAAGGTACCTAGGCCTCTACTGAATGTGATTGTACTACATTTTTTTTCTTGGTCAAATACCAACCTGTTTATTTTCTTGGTAAACTCAAAGAAGATAAAATTATTAAACAGCTTAATTCTTGTTGTATGCACACAATTGTTTAGTAGATAATGTTTTCTGATGTTTAATTTATTTTGGTGGGTGGTGACATGTTTTAAAGTATGACCAGATTTTTTTAAATTCCTCTTAGCCATTGGTGCAAAAATTACATAGTTTATTGTAGCAAAATTTTCAGGTGATTCCCCTTTGGCAACGGATAGTTTGTTTGTTTTTCCACCACTCGGGTACAAACACTATTGAAGATCTGAATGTCCACCACTAACATGACCGTCATCAATCAATTAATACATTGTAATAATTTTGTACATTATAATTTCATGAAGCTTCCATATTGTGCAGACATGTCTGGAATTGCCATTGCACGTTTAGCTGAAGAGAGGAAAGCATGGAGGAGGGACCATCCCTTCGTAAGTATAAGTTGTATATTGATAGCTGAAGGTACTGATTGTATTCTCGGAAGACACACTTGGAAGCTTGTTGTACTTGTACAATAATCACAAGATTTCGTACAATACTTCAATCTATCTACTCTTTAATTGAATCGTGTTTCATGTAAATTGCAAAATATTGTTAGATTTAGTCATGTGAAAAGCCCATGTTCAAAGATACTGTCAGCATAACAAACCTATTCCCTTTAATTGATCAATATGTAAAAATTTCACTATTAAAACTGAAACAATGGAATTACATGGAAATATTTTCAAATGATGTCATTACTCACTGCACTCGTTGAATTCAACTGCCATTGGAATTTGCACAATAGAACAGGATTTTTATGTCAATGGTTCTGTTGATTTTGTAAAATGTTTTTTTTATCAAGAATTTTTTTTTTTTTTTTTGCTATTTTAATGTTTTTCAATAAATATATTTTTTTTCATCACCAGGGTTTTGTTGCAAAACCAAATAAAAATCCTGATGGGACACTGAACTTAATGAACTGGGAGTGTGGTAAGCTATGATAGTTAAGTTATTTGACAACATTACCATTTGTAGTGAATATATTTCTACAAAGACAGTCATTGGAAATGACAGGTCACTGTGACTAACTGAAAGTAAGCAACTGATTGTCCGAAAAATTGACAGACAGACACAGTCAGTCGGTCAGTCAGGGATTGATGTTTGACAATGAACTGTAGTGATTTAGTAGTCTGAATTGTGTATTTAAATATTGAAAGTTTCTAGAAAAGTGGTTGGATTTATATATTTCTGGAAATATAAATTTAGTGAAATTAGTAAAATAATGTATCCAGGTTGAAAAAAATCTTTCCAAACGTAGTTGCTTTTGAGAAGTGCTGTAACAGCAATGAAACAAAATTCCCTAAAATCTGTATTAGAAGCCGCATCCCTAATAAAAGTCGCACCCATTTTTTTTTAACAATTGAGAACGAAAAAATCACAATTTCTTATTTGTGTAGATGCTCTAATAGAAGCTGCATTCCCTCTGTTGCATTGTACCATTTTAATAGAAACCGTGGCTTCTAATACAGATTTTACAATAGTAATACAGTAGTTCAAAAATCTTTTCTTGACAATGGCCTTTTTCGATTCCCACAATGTTGTATTCAAGTTTTTGGGAGTTGAGTAATCATGGATAACTCCCCAACTATTTCACCATAAGATTAATGGTACAACCCCCCCTCCCCTCTCTTGTGAGGAGTCGTTGCTTTTTGGAATCGCAGTATGTCATCGAAGTTCTAATATGATTTGTGTTTTTCTTTCAGCAATACCTGGCAAAAGAAATGTAAGTAGTTTCATCCATTGGTGGCCATTTTGTTTTTATTTATGTCCATGTCAATATATTGCCTAATTCCACTTGTTTTTTTCCTCTTCAGAAACCTTATTTTTTGTCTGGTCTTTAACCAAAATAAACCTTTGTAGCTGACCTTTTTCTATTTTTTTTTCTTTTTTCCCTTCAAGACAGCATGGGAAGGAGGGCTTTATAAACTAAGAATGCTATTCAAAGATGACTACCCATCAACACCGCCAAAATGTAAGTTTGCATTTCTGTTTTTATCTTATCTAATTTGACTGGCATACATCTCAACTAAATTCCAAATTAATTTATTATTTGTCAGCAAAGCATATTCAGGGATCTCGCCAGCCCAACTTGAGTGCCAGTCGGTCATGAATATTTATGAGCTATATGAATATTAATTAGCTATGAATATTAATGAGTTCAGTCGCAGTGCAAATATTTTTGGAATTAGACATTGTTTCACAATTTAGAAGAGTTTGAATTTAAAAATTAAATATGTTCGAAATGCAAATGCTGCAGACTAAAAAACAGAAACAAATAAATTATTGTTGCAATATTAATGTCTATTGTAAAAAGTTAAATAAAACGCATTTGAAACATTTCAGCCAGGAATATTTTCACGATCTTATTTATTCAAAAAATCGACCACGTAATTATTTGGAGTATTGTTGTAATTTATTATTCGTACCATCAATTTGTAAAAAGTATATATTTTCAGTAATGAACGAACAAATAAAACTTCTGAACTTTCAAAGTTACGATGTGACATAACTTACTTCGCGATGTTATACACTGATTATAGCAATAATTCCTCTTACTCAGTCATGATGCCAAACCAAAAAATGTTACTTTGTTTTTTTGATAAGAAATAAAAGTAAAATTTGGAGTGGATATTTTTGATCACTCAATTGCTTCAGTAAAAAACACAGCCCGCCATGATGTTTGTGACGTATTAGTTGGCCGGCATGTGTCCTTCGACCCGATGGGTCAATAATTCCATTAACCAATCAGTATGCCGCATGGTAATGCCGGTAGAATCCGAAGTTTTCCGAATGGTAGTGATAATAAAAATAACATTGCGGAAGTGAAGCGATGTCGTAGCACGATGTGTTGACATTGATTTCAGTTGAAAACTGCACGATGGTTATCGAAAGAGGTGATTAGCAATTTTTGAAAGGTAAAACAGGTCTTGAAAGAAGAGTTTTTACATGAATCGCGATGATAACAGTTCACATGTATTATACCAAATCACGCATTAAACACGTTGATTTTTCTCTTGAGTAGTGTAAACTGTCAGATCGTGAACTCCGCTTTGAATTTTAGCTTTCAATCTAAAAACTGTGTCTATCGCAGAAAGTATTTACTTACAAACAAAGAGATGATAATTTCACAAAATTGACTATCCGTTTACAAATTATAATCCACGACTGACAGGATGCGTGTCTGTCGACACATAATTATAATAACAATCGAACAATAGTCCTGGTCGGAAGCATTGTTGGCGAGAACCCTGGCATATTTGTACATTTATTATTTCATACTTGAAGCACAATTCAATGTAACATCACATGATTCTCGTTTCTTAGGTAAATTTGAACCGCCACTGTTTCACCCGAATGTATATCCATCAGGAACAGTGTGTCTCTCATTGCTTGAAGAAGATAAAGACTGGCGGCCAGCTATTACTATTAAGCAGGTATGAAATTTTACCTTGTCTACATCATCTTTGATGAAGGTAAGGCTTATTTGTTGGGAAAATCTCTGTCCTCGTTGTAGTTGTTGTCGTTCTCGTGTTGACTTTTGCTAGTGGTTACAATAACTTGAAAAAATTCTTTCAAAATTGAATACTGGATTTACCTGTCTGGGAGCACAGTCAGTTGGCGCACACGTGATAATAAAATAAATATTTACCATATGGGGGCCACCATCTTAAATGCAGCATAAAACTAAATAAGAGACAAGTTGTGAAACACGTTTTTCAGATTCCTACAAATCAGGACAAAAATGCCAATCTTTCACAAAAATACGATCAGTTGGGGTTATATTAAGCCAACGATAACAAAATTCGGTCGAATTCAGCGTTTTTTTCATTAAAAAATCCCTTAAATACGAAGACCTAATTACACGAAGAACCTAGAACACTTTCCTGGGGTATTTGAAACAAAAAATTCCCATTCCAGCTCAGCTGCCAATCAGCGACAAGCTTACAGTTAGATGATGACTTTGGTTTCAAATTCAAAGTTATTAAAAGTACATCAAGGTTTACTCAGATTTATGAATGCATTTTCTTGAGCATGTATGAGACATAGTTTGGTTGCACTTGTATACTCAGAGATTTTAGGTCTGGGTCAATGAAAGTTTTGGGAAATCACTTTATGATGAGTTGTACCCACATAGAGTACATATTAATTCAATTTTTTGCAGATGTTCCATGTATTATTTTAACATGAGTATTTTATAATTAAATAACAAGGACTGACATTCATGTCTTGTTTATATCAAGCTTCTGGTTCATTACCAAACGCTTCAGCGTGGTATTAAGATTTTGTTTTCAGGTTTGGGTGGTACCAAGGTGGAAAATGGTTGCACATATGGGGGGTAATTCCTGGAATTGCAATAGAGAGGGTTCAGGCCGAAATACATATATATAGTGTTTCCATGTTTCGTCTGATATTTCTGTGGTACTGTAAAGGGGGTAATTATTCACTGGGTTTTAATTTAGCTTATTTCGCTGACTGGAAAAATGCGCTAAATTAAAACACAGTGAATATGAAAAATTTAGCATAGAACACATTATCTAAATGATAAAACCGTGAATTTAAAACCCACTGAATATGTCTGAAATGGTAAATCAGTGAAATTT